AATGAAAAAATCATAAACTTTTTAATCTTCTAACCAGTACAAAAGTACATTTTTTTCGAATATATTATTATTATAAATAAATAAAGAAGTAATATTAAATAGTATTTATCTTACCTGATTATATTAGTTGTAGTCTAATAAATAAGATATTTGATTGCAACTTCATTATATAAAGTATGTACAAAAAAATGACGCAATTCATATAAATGTGATCTAGTTCTTTTAATAAATAAATATTATTTGTAAATAGAATAAGAAACAAATACACGATAGTAATTCAATAGGAAAATAAAAGTACTTATTCTCTTAGAGAAATATGAATACTACTATCTAGAAACAAATGTCTTTTAAAATTACTACTTTCTTTTTTGCTAACGTCTAAATATATGAACTCCGTAAGAAATTAGGTCTCATAAATATGATCTTACATTATCAAGAATTTTAAATAATTAAATAAATAAAAACTTTGTAATACATACCGTAAATGTTAATAATAACTGCGTAATAATATAGTTCACAGAGCGACTAAGAGTATCATAATATAATAGAATTTTAATTCTTATCTTACATATATTTTAATTAATGATATCTTTCTTAATATTGTCTCATTGTTTTGCTTTGTTTTGTTGTTTTTCTATTTATTTCCAAGAAAGGATCTTTATCTTGAATTTACGAAGCATTATGTATGATGCAAAAAAAAAAAAAAAAATTGGACAATAAAAACATTAAAGATGTTATTACACACATAAGTACTGTAGTGAAAGATATTATGATAAACAACACTAAAATTATTGCAGCAACCAAGATGGTCAATGATTTGCAAACAATAGGTTATATAGTTCGTTTGCCTTCCAAATAAATAACATTGAAAAAAATCATTCAGGGCATGATAAATTTTTTTTTTTTTTTTCAGACAAGTCGGTGATTGAATACCTTTAAGGTCATACAATAATGAAGTTTGATTATATGTTTGGCCAGTATATTTATAAGTTAGTGAATAATGTAGACGTCTTGTCAAATGAATTAAGAAAAAATTTGCAACACTATTGATGTACTGGACTACAACTAGTATTAATGTTTCTTATGAAAATGTCAAAACCAAAATGAAAAAAATCACTCTTTACTCATCTATTATAATTAAATAAAATAACTAATACATCTATAATATTCATTAGGTCCTTATTTAGTTGTTTAGTATTTTTTTCTATTAGAGACTATATTTTTGTTGGAGTTGTAATATGTTATTTCATTCTTTTTATATTAGGACATAATTATGTTATTTAAAAAAAATATTAGAAGCTCATTTATTCTATATTTTACTTCATTCCTGCAATAATATGTTTAATTAAATAATCAATTAATTTTACTGAATTCAATCGGCAAAAAACATTTATCACCACGTGCGATGCACGTGCACTTTACTAGTGACTTTAAAATGTTACTCTGATTAAAAAATTATGTTTCAACTTTGAAAACATTTTGTTACGTATTATTATGCATAGGACAATTTTCTATTTAAATAAAAATAGTGATGAAAAAAATGAATAAATTATAAAAATATATAAATGCATAATTTAAAAGCTAAAGAACTATATATATTATGCATGACGTGCATCACACGTACACTTTACAAGTTATACAAAAATGAACTTAAAAAAAAATATCCACATCAAACTTATAACCCTTGAAACAATACATATAACACCAACATCAAACACACCACAAAGATCACATCAAACACAATGATACAACTTAAAGGACAATTCAATATGATAAAAAGTTGCAAAGTCCCCTTGTAAACTCAAGCTATAGCAGTCTAACTCCAACCCATCATTTTTTTCAACAGAGCATCCATCCACCCGAACAGTGTATGCAGCCAACTCTTTTTGAAGACCAAAACTTCAAAGTAACCCCATAATACAGTGGCATCCAGTGGCAAAACCACCAACTACAAATTCATAGAGGTATAACTTATCGGTTGAATTTCCATCATCACCATGCTCCCCACTATTTTTACCTTTTGTCTATGTTCTATTAACTTCGCATTGTTGGGCCAATGGTGCCCTACATAGACCAGGGTTTCCCTCATAATCCGAACTTCCGTTGAGTGTTTGAAGTTGAGGTCCCATCAGGATACGCCCAGACAAATTATTGTTGGACAAGTTCAAATGACTCAGAAAGGTCAACTTCGATAAGCTCTCTGGAATTGTTCCAAACAAATAGTTGTTGGAAAGATCAAGTGATTCGTGAGAGACCATATCTCCAATCTTCAATGGGATTTGTCCTCTTAGATGATTATGAGACAAATTGAGACCGATCAAGTCAGTGAGGTTTGTCAGCTCCAAAGGGATTTCTCCAACTAGTTGATTACTTGAAAGATCAATATTGACCAAGAAACGTGTATTTTCGCTATACTCCAGCACCACTCCCTTCAAGACTTCACTTAATGCATTGAGCCCATAGTTTTCAATTGCTACAAGACAGACATTTTTTGTACATATATTTTCCTTTGTGCAAACAATGTCTATACTAGTGTTTACATAACTATTCTTGTAATAAAAATTGCTACAAAAAAATTGGATCATTGCTCGATCACTGCTAAATTTACTATTCATCACTACGATCAAGTCACATTTAGCTTCCTTTTATTGAAAAAAATAAATCTTTTTTTTGGCTTATACTTGAGGAAAATACCTCACCCCACAAGACTAACTTTTTTTTTAAAAAAAAAAAAAGTTGATTTAGTGATCAAAATGAACAATTTAAAAAAATTCATTTTCTCCAACTAACTCTTAGATCATCAGTAACGAACTAAGAAATGTTGAATACACGAATAATATCATGAAAGTGTTATATGAATGAATACTCACCGCGAGTGGTTTTATTGTGGACCATTCCCGAAAAATTGCCAAAGCAACGTGAGATGTTTCCGGTCAACTGGTTGTTTGCAAGATCCACTATTTGAAGTTTGGACATCTGACAGAAAGAGGATGGAATGTCTCCGTAGAATTTGTTGTTCCTTAGCCTAAGAATTTCCAAGATTAAGCAGATTGTTTCCAATCCATTCTGGAACTTTCCCTGATAACTTGTTGTCTCCAATATCCAAACCCATTAACTGGGTGCAATTTTTCAAATTTGGAGGGAGTTTCCTTATAAAACTGTTGTTACTCAGTTGCAACCATCCCAACGAGTAAGCTCCACTAATGGAGTTTGGAATGGGCCCAGAAAGCTTATTAGATGACAATGTTGCAACCCTTAAATAAGATAAGTTAGCCCAACATTGTGGATGGTGACCTGACAATAGATTCTTGGAGAGACGCCGATAAAACAAATCTCTCAGTTGGCATAAAGAAGGGGATATCGAACCAGTTATCACGTTATTTGATAGATCTCAAACTTGGATTCTGAAAGGAAGATTTGAAATAGATCCATCAATATGGTTGTTGGATATGTCTAAATCAGTCATATTTTTTATGGAATGGAGCCATTTCGGCAGCATGCCTTTAATGCTACAATTAGATAGATACAAATAGTGTAGTGATTTTTGTTTTAAAGCCACTGTGGAAATTGGCCTCCGATATCAATGGATGACATATAAAGGGATTTTAGATGAAAATGAGGGGTCTAATCATCTCCCACTCTGAATGTTAACATGTTAGACCCAGTCCTAAATCCTTTAAGTTTGAATAGCTTCTCAAAGTGGGCCTCTATGAGCGTACCTTCAAAGGTATTACCATATATGTCAATCCACTCCAAATCTGAAAGTTGTCCCACAATAGTTGGAATTGGACCAGACAACTTGTTATCAGACAAATCTAACCATTTTAACTGCTTCAGTTTGCCAAGTTCTTCAGGCAACTGCCCGTAAAAATTATTACTCCACAACTCTAGGTTCTCCATGTTGTGGCTCCAGCATCTTGATAAATTTATTGGGATTGGACCAATCAACTTGTTATCAGACAAATCTAACTCCTTAGTTGCTTCAGTTCACCAAGTTCTTTAGGAAACTGCCCGTGCAAATCATTACTCCACAACTCCAAATTCTCCAAGTTGTGCCTCCAGCATCTCGATAAATTTTTAATTAATAATACCGAGATATCTCCATGAAAATGATTATTCCCTAGGTTCAATGATTTCAAGTGGCATTTATCCCACAGCAGATCATAGATCCAATCTGTGTTGTAATTAAGTGAGTTACCTTCAAGGTTGAGATATTGAAGATTTCTCGACAGAAGAAAATGAGGGTCCAATGAGGTGTATTGGTTGGAAGAAAGATCAAGAAAATGCAATGAAGTCATGTTACAGAGAAAGCATGGAATGCCTCCTTTAAAGAGATTGTTCCTCAAATCTTGGTGTTGTATATTAGTAGATAGCGTGGAATTTAAGCAAATAGTATGAGGTAGGTATGTGTTATCAAACCCGCTATGTGACAAGCTAAATATTTCTAAAGAATGAAGTGTATTGAGTACCTTCGCAAGGTGATCTTTTGTGGTGCTAAGGTTGACATGACACATATCAAGGGACTCCAACAATGAAAGATTAGCAGCCCATATGAGATTGTCGACTCTTAGAGAAGATAACAGTCCACCAAGATCAAGTGCACACAAGGTTGAGAGGTTGCCGAGCTGGTGAGGGATAACACATCCAAAGCCTGCATTTGAGAGATTGAGATATTGCGGTTTGTTTAATGATCCTAGGAATGATGGAATCGAGCTGTCCTTGAAATTATTCCCACTCAAGTCAAGGTACTTGAGATGCTTCATTTCAAGCAAGGAAGAATCAAGTGTTTCACTTTGTAACATGCTATCAGAGCTCGGGTCCCCATAATTATCTAGAACTCGATTTCTGATATCAAGCCCGATAACATGCCCAGTCGCTTTATCACACTTTACGCCTTGCCAGTTACAACATTTGTATCGGGTGTTATTCCACGAAGAAATCCCGTTAGACCCATCCAACAGGCTTGCTTTCAACCTCAGGAGAGATATCCTCTCCCTTGGAATGCAATCATTAAAAGTAAAATTATTATTTGATGACAGACACAATATGTCGGGCTCAAACATTATTAAGAAGAAGAAGATGACGGGGAGGAGCATGGAAGAGAACACCATTTTCTCCATTTTATACACACACATATATATTGATTGGATATAGGCTTGAGAATAAGTATATGAAAGCTCGCTAGATGTTGGTAGTAGTATATTTAACCATAAGGCTCTATTATATAGCCATTTATGATGATTTCGCATATATGGTTAGTTGTCATGAATGATAGTGAAATC